ATAGTTTTATAAATGTAACATATTATCAAAACTTTTGAACTCACTGTTTCTTGCAGCTTAATTTGAATTTAAATTTTTAAAAAGGCATTTGGTTGGGTTTTTTTTTTCCCTTTTTTTGGCACCTTTTGGCTTTATTTGGTTTCAGCTGTCTATGTACATTTCCAAGTAGGTATCCTAGGAAACTGGGAGATAACACAGCAGTTCCTGACAATCGCTGGCCAGACTAGATTTCCTATTTTAGTCCCTCTAATTGTGGCGAGCGGGGGCTACTCTTGGTTGCAGTGAGCAGGCGTCTCATTTTGGTGCACAAACTCCAGGGTGCTAGGTCTTCAGTAGTTGTGGTGTGTGGGCTCGGTAGCTCTGAAGCATGTGGGATCTTCCCGGACAAGGGATCGAACCTGTGCCCCCTGCATCGGAAGGTGGATTCTTAACCACTGGGTCACCACGGAAGCACACTGCCCTCCTCCCCCCAACACCTCCTGGTACCTTCATCTTGTACTTTCAGCCTCAGAAAATAAATTTCTGTCATGCAAGCCCCCCAGTCTGTGGTATTTTGCTATGGCAGCCTGATCAGACTAATACACTATCTTTAGTTCTCCTATTTTCTACTAAGTGCAAAACTTCCTAGTGTTTTTTACTCCCAGTCTACCTTGAAGTATGAGAGATACCTTTCCCTCCTCTTCTCTCAGCTCTTGATTAGCTACTAACTAGACCGTGCACACCAAGGCAGGCAAGAATTTTTCCACATGGTTCGCATACATCCATCATCCAGGCTCCTATCCTGCCAGGCGTTCATAAATATTTGTTGAATAAATTACAGCCCATTCAGTCTTGAAAAGGATCCTTGCCCACGTCTTCTTCTCTCCAATATTTCCAGCCTGTCTCCACGAGCTTCTTCTCCTTTTCACACATTTATAAACCTCCCCATTTAGGACATATCTCACTTGACCCTGCTGCCTTTTCAAATGCCTTGGCTCTCCAGTTTCTTTGCATAAGTGGCTCATTTTTACCAGCCTCATTTAGTGCCATTCAGTCGTCTTCATCCCTTTGTGGTCTGGTTATCAGTTCCATCAACTCTAGGGATGAATGAACCCCAGGTAGGGAGGCCTCCTTTTAAACCAGATCCGGTCTTCCTGTCCAGCGCTCGCTTCCCAGACCTCAATGTTCTGATAGGGACATTGCTGTAACCACTTTCTTTTTTATGAATTTATTTTTTTATGGCTGTGCTGGGTCTTTGTTACTGTGTGGGCTTTTCTCTAGTTGTGGTGAGAGGGGGCACCTCTCTAGATGTGTGAGGGCTTCTCATTGTGTTGGTTTCTCTTGTTGTGGAGCACAAGCTCTAGGATGCACGGGCTCCAGGAGTTGCCACACGTGGGCTCAGTAGTCACAGCTTCCACACTCTATAGCGCAGGCTCAGGAGTTGGCATACTTGGGGTTAGGGACTCTGCAGAACGTGAGATCTTCCCAGATCAGGGATCGAACTAGTATCTCCTGCATTGGCAGGTGGATTCTTTACCACCGAACCACCAGGGAAGCCCACCACTTTTTTATTTTTAAAAATTATTTGGGACTTTTTTTTTTTTAAACTCCACCTCTCAGCTAACAGGATCTTAGTTCTATGACCAGGGATCCAGCCCAGGGCCCTCAGCTGTGAAAGTGTGGAGTCTTAACCACTGAACTACCAGGGAATTCCCAACACTTTCTTTCTTAAATTCTCTGCCTGTGGTTGAGGACACTGTGCTTCTCTACTTCTTATTTCTCACCCCCCACTTTCTCTCTCTGAGCATATTCTAAGGCGTAATGCTCTCCTTACTCTTTCCCCACTTACTTTCTTCAAGAGTTTTTTTTTTCCTAATTCAAATGATCAACTCTCTTGTTGGTGACTAGATAAATGACAGCTGAATTAATTTCATGTCCAAGGCAGAATCTCAAGCCTCAAGTTAGCACTCAGAGCATCCCAAGAGCCCCATCATGTTTCTCTAATAGGAACACGTTCCCATTTCCCAAGGTGACTATGACAGAAAGCCTCCTATGTTCTCAAACCTTTTGCACCCCTTTCTCCATTCTTAGTTTTAGCAAAAACCTTGGCTCACTTGTCATCAAGAAATTAGAAACCATTGGATGAAAACGCTAATCTTCCCACCAGCAAAGAACAAAGCCCTGCTTTTATTTGCACCTTCAATTTGTCCCTTCTTTCTTTCCATTTACGATGGAGGAAGAGTCTTCTTCCCATGAAAAGCCAAAGCCAACCTCTTCACTATGTTCTATCCCTCTCCTTTTTTTTTTTTTTTAAACAAGTGTTTTATTTATTTATTATTTTTGGCTGTGCTGGGTCTTCGTTGCTGCTGGGCCTTTCTCCAGTTGGGGCGACTCTCTAGTTGTGGTACATGTGCTTCTCATTATAGTGGCTTCTCTTGTTACACAGCATGGACTCTATGCTGGGTTTAGATATCCTGCGGGATGTGGGATCTTCCCAGACCAGGGATCAAACTAAGGTACCCTGCATTGGCAGGTGGATTTTTAACACTTGGACCACCAGGGAAATCCCTTCTCTCTCCTCTCCTTTTATTCTTAGTACCCACCAAGCTCTTTCCCACCTCAGGGCCTTTGCACAAGCTCTTCCATCTGCTCAAAGTGCTCTTCCTCCTATTCTTTAATTGGTCCATTCCTCCTGCTTTAGATCTCAGTGTAAATGCCACCTCCTCAATGAGGGCTACCTTGACCATTTTACCTGGAATAACCTCGACTTGTTATTCCTTATCTCAGTCCCTTGTTTATGTCCTTCATAATATTTGCTTCAGTTGAAACTAATTTTTGTTTGTATTCTCAAACTAAATGTAAGATCTATGAGTCTATATACTATTTCCATATATCTTGCTTACCATTATATTAATAGCTCCAGGTCTAATAAGTGACTGACCTATAGGAGGTGCTCAGTAAATACCTACTGCATAAATGTGATAATATTGGTTTCCAACATTCTCAGGAGAGAGAATTCAGTGATTGGAGGATAGGAAGGGGAAAGAGAAATTTCACTGTATACCCTTTTGTACCCTATGAACCAGTGAATATATTACCTATTTAAAATGGATTACATTAAAACCTGATAGCTCAGTTGGTAAAGGATCCACCTGCAATGCAGGAGATCCTGGTTCGATTTCTGGGTTGGGAAGATCCACTGGAGAAGGGATAGGCTACCCACTCCAGTATTCTTGGGCTTCCCTTGTGTCTTAGCTGCTAAAGAATCAGTTCACAATGCGGGACACCTGGGTTCAATCCCTGGTTTGGGATGATCTCCTGGAGAAGGGAAATGCTACCCACTCCAGTATTCTGGCCTGGAGAATTCCATGGATTGTATAGTCCACAGGGTCGCAAAGAGTTGGACGTGACTGAACGACTTTCACTTTCACTTTCAAAATTAGAAAAAAGAAAGAAGTCGTTCTAGTCTAGAGATGATGATGGCCTGTACAAGGCTGGTGACAGTGGGATTGAAAAGAAGTAAACATATGATATCTAGGATCTCATGATTGTTTGGGTGTGAGGGAGTGAGATATCCATATTAGTATATAAGAATGTTCACCACATGCTGGGAAAACTGGTCAACCACCTGTAAAAGAATGAAACTAGAACACTTTCTAACACCATACACAAAAATAAACTCAAAATGGATTAAAGATCTAAATGTAAGACCAGAAACTATAAAACTCCTAGAGGAGAACATAGGCAAAACACTCTCCGACATAAATCACAGCAGGATCCTCTATGACCCACATCCCAGAATTTTAGAAACAAAAGCAAAAATAAACAAATGGGACCTAATGAAACTTAAAAGCTTTTGCACAACAAAGGAAACTATAAGCAAGGTGAAAAGACAGCCCTCAGATTGGGAGAAAATAATAGCAAACGAAGCAACAGACAAAGGATTAATCTCAAAAATATACAAGCAACTCCTCCAGCTCAACTCCAGAAAAATAAATGACCCAATCAAAAAATGGGCCAAAGAACTAAACAGACATTTCTCCAAGGAAGACATACAGATGGCTAACAAACACATGAAAAGATGCTCAACATCACTCATTATCAGAGAAATGCAAATCAAAACCACAATGAGGTACCATTACACGCCAGTCAGGATGGCTGCTATCCAAAAGTCTACAAGCAATAAATGCTGGAGAGGGTGTGGAGAAAAGGGAACCCTCTTACACTGTTGGTGGGAATGCAAACTAGTACAGCCACTATGGAGAACAGTGTGGAGATTTCTTAAAAAACTGGAAATAGAACTGCCATATGACCCAGCAATCCCACTTCTGGGCATACACACCGAGGAAACCAGATCTGAAAGAGACACGTGCACCCCAATGTTCATCGCAGCACTGTTTATAATAGCCAGGACATGGAAGCAACCTAGATGCCCATCAGCAGACGAATGGATGAGGAAGCTGTGGTACATATACACCATGGAATATTACTCAGCCATTAAAAAGAATTCATTTGAATCAGTTCTAATGAGATGGATGAAACTGGAGCCCATCATACAGAGCGAAGTAAGCCAGAAAGATAAAGATCATCAAACTTTTAAAACATGATTTTCTAAACATCTTTACTATAGTGGGTACTTTCTCTTTTACTGATTGACACAAAATATATGCTGGTCCTATAATATGAACTGCATCATAACTGAACCACAACAAAGTAAATTTGGAATGGGGAAACGGTAAAAAAGAATTATATCAATGATGATCAAAAGCATCTTTAGCAACTATAATCATAAGTTATATAAGTGAAAGTGAAAATGACAGATTTAATGGATTACCTGCCCAAGTTATTTATTCAAATGCCAAGAGGCAATTTACCATAAAAGTGCATTTCATTTTTCTTATATGAGAGAGAAGTCTCAGGTGTGTTTACTTATATTATCAATTTACACCTCATTAAATTCTGGAAAAAAAATTATAAAGCATATTTTGAATTACAATGGCAGAAAAGAAAACACCAATGAATTCTTTTGTTCTTGAAATTTTTATTTCAGTTTAAACAAAAAAAACAAATGTTACTTATGTCATCCAGGGATAGGTGGGAGAGTATGATTAGCCTTCATAACTGTTAGCTGGCAAAGTCCAAATAAGAGGTGTAATCTAGGTCCAAGATGCTTATTGTTCCAGGATATATTTACCTTCCAAAGAGATAATGAAAATAAGTCAAAAAGATGATAAACAGATTTACATGAAGTCACATTAGAAAATCTGAGAAAGTGATGCCTAATGCTTTGGGAAATTCTGTTCCCACTTAATACTCGGAAGAATAAGTTCTTAAAGATCAGGAGCAGATGGTTTATAAGTATTAGACACAATGATATGCACTTTCATCAGTTTGTTATGATTATTAGGACTCAAGATGTTATTTAAAATCTAGATGTAGGCCCAGACAGTTGGTCATTGCTAACAATGGGAAATGTACATTTCATTAGAGGAAACAAAAATGTGACTGTTAGCATCTTGTCTTAATTTACAATGATTAAGTCCAATTTTAATTTTTACCAAAAAAAAAAGAAATACAGCAGCAATTGTCACACACCTGAAAAAGACTCCAAACAGAACGTCCCTATTGATGACAGCAACCAAGAAATTCGAATTCAGTCTACAGATTTTATTTCTGATCATGTAACAAACTTTCAGTTATTTCTTTGAGTCTGCCTCTGTTAACAATGTACAACTTGTCAGATAATTACATCACTGATTTCCAAGCTCTCTTTCCACAATATTTTTCCCCTTTAACTAAGGTGTACCTAGAAATAATGAGACAACTTGAATAGCTGTAATGACCTTCATTAATTCTGTCTTACTAATTAGTTGATCTTATTCCAGTGAAGGCTAATGTCAAATTTATCCAACAGCCTTTGATTTCAGAATTACTTATGATAGTAGAATACTGCATCAAATACTTGATCAATAATCTTCTACTTACATCTCATAAACAATTATCTTTCTAAACAAACTATTTACAAATGTAAAATATGCAATATTGTTTAAAATAAATATACAATATATAGTTTCTACATTCTCAGACAGGCTTAAAAATGAGGTAATAAACACTTAACTGATTAAACCTTTTACCATTCTGGTAATGGCTTAGGGAAATAATGAAAAAATTTTTTCTTAGGTCTTTTCATGTTTTCTTTGAATGCTTCTGACTACCTCCTTCTCTATTCTGAAAAATTATGTAAAAAATCCTTAAGCTTTGTTGGATAGTCTGTCATCACCCCAGTTGCTCCCAAATCAAAGGCTCTTTTGTATTCCTGCTCTTCATTTAATACCCAAATGTACACCTGAAAATTAGAAAAATGAGACATATGAGAAGAAATGTTAAAATAGCAAATTATGTTAGCATGCATCCATTACAACCTCAGTACACTTAGAAACAACCTTTTAATAACCTGCAATTTAAAGTTTTTCTGGTAAGTGGTCTGAGGTGACCTCTAAAAATGGTCTGCTATTCACTTAACCCAGAAAACTCCACAAAATCATGTAAATCAAGAGGTTCAAATCTTCACACTCCCTTTAAGAACATTTGTGAAACTGCCCAGGCCATTAAGGATATGCATATCTGAAAAACCACCAAGTATTTGAAGGATGTCACTTTACAGAAGCAACATGCGTGCCATTCCATCATTAAAATGGTGGAGGTGCTAGGTATGCACAGGCCAGACAGTGGGGCTGGACACTGGGTCGGTGGCCCAAAAAGAGTGCTGAATTNTAACTAGACTTGTGGTGGTGATCACTTTGTAGTGTATACAGATGCCAAATTATAATGCTGTTACCTGAAACTTATATAGTAAAAAAAAAAAGAAAGAAAGAAACAAGGAAGGAAGCAGCAGCAGCAGCAAATAAAAGCCAAAAACAAAATACTCTGCAATTTTAAGAAATCATTGAGCCCTTTAAACAAATTCCACTTTGCTCACTAAATATGACTATCCCATCCTCTGGCTTCAGTTCTCACCTACCTATAGGTGAACTCTATAGGTGAACTCTGAAAAACCAATACTATCTTGCTAACTATAAGGCAGAGCTTAAGGTCTTCATATAGTGAAGGTGAAAGTAAAACTGGAGAAGGAAATGGAAACCCACTCCAATATTCCTGCCTGGAGAACCCCATGGACAGAGGAGCCTGGTAGGCTGCATATAATGAGAACCAGTAAAAGCAGCAGAGTTACGACCAAATCAAGTCAGTTAGAAGTTACTTCCCTTTTATTTATTTTTTTTACATACCTATTCATTTTATTATCTAGGGTCACTTTTGCAATAAAATGACAGAGTTGAGAAGCTGTAAGAGGGATTGCATGGCCCACATGTGTGACACTATTTACCATTTGGACTTTAACAGAAAAAGTTTGACCATCACCGTTAATTGCAAGTTCATACCTTTTCTCTGCTCCTAAAACCTCCCACGTACCCTCCAGCACTTTCTCCATGTTCACTGGGAAAATTTAGCACATTTATTTTTTATTTTAAAATTTTTTTTTGTTTTTTGACTAAACAACAATATTTACTTTTATTTTATTTATTTATTTTTCCCAATTATTTTTATTAGTTGGAGGCTAATTACTTTACAATATTGTAGTGGGTTACTGCCCTTTAAACTTGTGTTGAACTGGTAAACTATGCTCTTTCTAAAATGCATCATTACAAAAACTTACCTGAATGCCTCGGGCAGTGAGGTGGTCAAACAAAGCTTTTCTCATTAGTAAACTAGAAAAGAAAAGCATGAAAGATTTAGGTACTCCTTAGTCCTAAGGAAGGACTAAAATTAGTCCTCAATTCTAATTCAGTCAGTTTAGAGCTTCTAATCCCTATGGTGGAGAGGTCTGACAGAAATGTGGTCCACTGGAGAAGGGAATGGGAAACCACTTCAGTATTCTTGCCTTGAGAACCCCATGAACAGCATGAAAAGGCAAAAAGATAGGACACTGAAAGATGAACTCCCCAGGTCAGTAGGTGCCCACTATGCTACTGGACATCAGTGGAGAAATAACTCCAGAAAGAATGAAGGGATGCAGCCAAAGCAAAAACAATACCCAGTTGTGGATGGGACTGGTGATAGAAGCAAGGTTCAATGCTGTAAAGAGCAATATTGCATAGGAACCTGGAATGTTAGATCCATGAATCAAGGCAAATTGGAAGTGGTCAAACAGGAGATGGCAAGAGTGAACATCAACATTCTAGGAATCAGCAAACTAAAATGGACTGGAATGGGTGAATTTAACTCAGATGACCATTACATCTACTACTGTGGGCAGGAATCCTTTAGAAGAAATGGAGTAGCCATCATGGTCAACAAAAGAGTCTGAAATCCAGTACTTGGATGTAATCTCAAAAATGACAGAATGATCTCTGTTCATTTCCAAGGCAAACCGTTCAATATCACAGTAATCCAAGCCCTAACTAGTAATGCTGAAGAAGCTGAAGTTGAA